AGGCTGTTTCCAGAATTCCATTTTAGCTGGATCTCACTCCAAGTGCAGCAGTCTAAGTGACTGCACAAGCCTCTCCAGCCTTGCCCTCACCTTGGTACAGCCTGGGGCAGGCTCAGGTTTCCCAGGGAAGTGGAGATCACTGCGGACCGGTGCTCTCTGCAGCAGGGGCTGGTTTTTGCCAAGCTTGAGACGAACTTTGTAAGGAACCGGGAGCGGGTTTGGGCCAGCGCTGGGACCGAACGCGGTCACGGCCGGGGCCGGAGCCGGGGCCGCAGCGGGCACAGCGCTGCACACCGCAGGTGGTGCTGCCCTCCTGTGGCCAGGCCCGGCACTGCAGCTCCGGCGGGGCCGGGACCCTCGGGGCGATCCCGCCACGGACAGCGGGGAGTGGGGCCAGGCACAGGCACTCGGGGCTCCTCCGTCCCCTCTGCTGAGGTTTACTCCCTGGAAATGACGTTTCTAACAGCCTGGCATGTTCCCTTCAGTCCTGGCCTTCCCGGCACAGCCTCCCATTATCCCTTACTGGCACTTGCAGTAACCCACCCCTATGGGGTCTGATCGAAGCAGGGTTAGGGTTTCCTTCCCGTTTTAGGGCACTCTCCCAGCCCTGGAGTGCCGTTGGAAAACACTCGGATTATCTGACCTCTCCCTGTGCTGTCAGGGCTCAGCTTCACCAGGGACAGATTCTGGGATTGGGAAAATAAAGCACTGATGCTGGTGGGCAGGGTCTTGGCCGCGGGTCCCTCCCTGCATCCCCCCCAAATCCTCCCTCAGCCACCTCAGGGCTGCAGAGCTGCTGCTGCAGGGTGGGAGCTGGAGAGCAGAGACCACAAATCCAGCTGGACCGGGGCCAGGCCTCAGGGCTGTTGTTTTAGGGTGATCCCGTGTCTTAGGGTTCTCAGCATTTGGAATAACTTCTGCCCAGTCCCAGTGCTGGCTCCAAAACCATTTATTGGGGGGAATGAGGGAGGGGGGAGAGGGGGAAGGTCCCTAGGGCTGGAGGATGCTTTTCAGGAGTTTTTTCACCTCAGGGCTGAGCCTCTTGGGGAAGAGGATGTCGAAGTAGATGTAGAGGTCCCCCTTGCGCTGCGGGTCCTGTGCCAGCGGCATCCCTTCCCCCGGCACCTTTTTGTAGTACTTGGGGCTGCCGAGCAAAGGGAGGGGCTGAGGGGAGCTGTGGCATGATCCCAGCACAGAGCCATGATCCCCAGCCCCACCTGCAGAGCCCCACGTGGCTTCCTCGGGGTATTTGCTCCTCCAGCTTCATCCAGAGCTCGTCCTCCTCTTCCAGGCTCCAGCATCCACCCTCATCCACCCACACCCAGCCCTCTCCTTGCCTCTGCTCCCAGCAACGTGGCCCCAGACCTGAAGAGTCATCCACTGTGGGCCTCCTCCTCCTGCAGCCCCAAACCTGCTGGAAAAGGCTTTGGAGCACCCCAAGCTCCTCCCAAGTGCCCGCTCATGCCCATTTTCCCCTGGCACTTACTCCACAATGTCGTTGATGGGGATGTTGAGCAGCCTCCCATCCAGCGTCCACACATCCAGGGTGCATCCAGTCAGTGCCTGCCGGGCGTGCAGGGCCACCAGGAGCTGCTGCTGCAGCCCCAGAGCCCAAAGGTGACCCTCTGTCCCCTCACTGGGCCCTTTACCTTTGCCAGGGAGATGTTGGCAACATAAAGGAGGTTGTTCTCGATCCTTTTGAACCTTGGGTGAAGCTTCTCTTGGACAACAAAGGTGATGTCAGCTGGAATGATGTTTGGGCCCTGATTGAGAGGGAAAGAGGTCACAGAATCATGGAATGCCAGGATGGTTTGGGTTGGAAGTGACATTGAAATTCACCCAGTTCCACCCCCTGCCATGGGCAGGGACACCTTCCACTAGACCAGGCTGCCCCAAGCCACATCCAACCTGTCCTTGGAAACCTGAAAATTATTTCATACAGGGAAAACTGACACAAATTCCTGCTCCTCTTTCGTTGCTGTTTTCAGCTGGCTAGAGAGAAGGGAAAGGAATTTTCTTCCCTTAAGAGAAAAATGAATCTTTTATCCAAGATGCCTGCCCAGCCAAGGGCAAACTCGAAACTGTGTTTTTGTCAGGAAGAAAACCAGCCCTTTCAATTATTTGTTCTTTAATCTGTTCTGAGGAAAATCCAGGCTCCTCAGAGTGCTTCTGTTGGTCGTGCTGCCAAGTGCCCTCAGCAGCAGGAAACCAGAAATTTCTTCATGGAAGAGCTTTTCCCATGGAGAGGGCACAGGACTGGATCAGCTGCTCAGGGGGGGCATGGAGTCTTCTTTCTGGAGAGATCCCAAACCCATCTGGATGGGTTCCTGCCTGGGCAGGGGTGTTGGATGAGGTGATCTCCAGGGGTGTCTCCCAAACCTGGCTATTGTGTGGTTCTGTGCTCACCTGGTCTCCTTCCTTCTCAAAGGTGATCCTGGTGCCACGCTGCCATCCCGGCTGCACGTCGATGGTCAGGATCTTGTCCCTGATGGTGCTGGTCTGGCCATCCTCGTTCATCACCTGGGCACAGAGGGAGGGAGGGAGGGTCAGCAGCCAAGGGCAAGCCTGGCTTGAATGGCAGAGCCTGGCAGATCATGAATCAGATCCATGGAATCACCAGATCCATAGAACTGTGGGGTCATTTAGGTCAGAAAAGCCCTCCAAGGTCATGGAGTCCAATGTTCCCCCAGCACTAACCCGTATCCCCAAGTGCCACAACCACACAGCTTTAAATCCCTCCAGGAATGGGGACTCCACTCCAGCCTACTGCGATGTCTGACCATCCTTTCAGTGCAGAAATTTTCCCTAATATCCAACCTAAGCCTCCCCTGGCACAGCTTGAGGCTGTTTCCTCATGTCCTAGAGCAGGAGAGGCTCAGGGCTGGGTCCAGGAGGCTGGGACAACAAGGAGAGGGACAGAGGTCACCAAGGGCACAAAAAGGAGATAAAATGCAGTGTGAAAATGGAATTGTGGGAGCCCAGAACACACTGAGCTCCTTCTCCACCCGTCTCTGGGATCAGCTCCCACATTGTCTCCCGTGCTGAATTCCCTTTGCCAAGCCAGGGGGGAAAAACTGGTTCAGCTCCTGGGTTTGGTGCTAATCCCTGCCTGCCACAAGGCCCTGGTGCAGGGCCACCCCTAAATCCCCAATGTCCCACACAGGGTAGAGCTGAGCCCAAAATGCAGCCCCAGAGCCCCTGCCTACCCTGCGGGAGATCTTGATCTTCTTGGTGCAGCCGTGGAACAGGTCCTCGAGGGACACGTAGAGATCCCGCACGATGGGGGGGTCCCTGCGCAGGGCCCCCCGGCCCCGGGGCCCCCCAAAGGGCAGCAGCACCTCCGAGCCGTCCTCGGCAAAGAACTCTGGGGGAGGGAGCAGGGACACAGCCCTCGCTGGGCTCAGAGCTCTGGGCTCTTCACCTCCCACCCAGAACCACCCCAAGGGTTTCTTCTTTCCAGGAGTGTTTATGGCAGCCTGGCCTCCCTCATCCCTCTTCTGGATGGGAATCCCAGAAAGGGTCTCAGGAGCAGCTGGGCAAAGCTGACAGCTTGAGCATGCACCTCCAGGCCTCTCTGGGGGAAGCCAGGATCTCCCCTCCGGGTACCAGAGGGGCCTGAGGGCAGCTGGGCAGGGAAGCATTCCTGGAGAATGATGGCAGCCACAGGCAGAGCCCCAGAGTGTCCCAGCCTACCTGCAAAGGGGTTGTCCCCTCCAAAGAACTCCCTGAAGACTCTCTCAGGGTTGTTGTGGAACACGTAGCCCACGCTCCAGGGGTTGTCACTGGCGTACTCCAAGGGGATGCCACCTTTCAGCCCCTCTTCCCCAAATTTGTCGTAGATGCCTTTCTTCATAGCTTAGGGAACAAGGAAGTGTTGGGAAACCGGGGAGAGCCCCAGCCTGAGATCCAGGTTTTGTTGGGGTGCAGAAGAAAGAGAAGAGGGGTCCCAGGAAGGGTGTGCCAGTTCCCAGCTGGGCTGTGGGTCACAAAGGAGCTGGTCCTGCAGGGAGCAGGGCACTCCAGGAGAGGGACACTCCAGGAAGGGGGGACAGTCCCACTTACGGTCGCTGAGCACATCGTAGGCCTCTGCCAGCTGGTGGAACCTCTTGGGGCCCCAGGGCTCCTTGCATTTCAGCGGGTGGTACTTCAGAGCCAACGTCCGATAGCTGAGGGTCACAGGATGGTTTCGATTCAGGGGGACTTTAAAGCCCATCTCATTCCCAGCCCCTGCCATGGGCAGGGATGCCTTCCACTAGCCCAAGCTGGAGAGGGCTTGGAGCAACTTCCAGGGATCCAGGGGCCACCACAGCTGCTCTGGGGAACCTGTACCAGGGCCTCACCACCCCCAATATCCCTCTGGATAATAATGCCCTCTGGCAGTGGGAGCCATTCCCTGTGTGCTGTCCCTCCATGCCTTGTCCCCAGTCCCTCTGCAGCTCTCCTGGAGCCCCTTCAGGCCCTGCAAGGGCTCTGAGCTCTCCCTGGAGCCTTCTCCTCTCCAGGTGAGCACCCCTAGCCTGTCTGCAGAGCAGAGCAGAGGAGCTCCAGCCCTCAGAATACCCCCACGGCCCCTCCATTCCCACATCTAGCCCGGGCTGCCCGCACAGCCCCAGACCCTTTCCCCTCGGTGGGGCAGGGGAAGGCCAAGCACAGCCACCCCCGGCTGCCTCCCGGCCCAGGGGATCGCTCTGATCCCGGGGGTCCCTCACGCCTTCTTGATGTCGTCGGCGGTGGCCCCGCGGTCCAGCTCCAGCACAGCGTAGTAGTCCAGCCCCATGGCGTCCCGTTGCTATAGCGACAAGACTTCCGGTCCGCGCCGCGCGGGGCATCAAGGGAAATGTAGTTCTTCCGCTCACTTCCGCACTCTGCGGGGGGCCCGCTCAATCCTTCACCCCTCACCTCCTTTTTTTCTTAAAAGTCCCCAAGTTTCCATGGAAACACATGTATTAACATATGTATTAACATATAACACATGTATTAAAAGGAATGCGGATAACAGGTGTTATCAAAGCAGCGGTTTATTTCACCCCATACTGTGACAGTCACTTTCACTGCACCCTCTCTCCCCCTTTATTTATTTGTTTATTTCCCCCCACTACAAACAGCGTATTTTCAGCACTGGAAATGCAACCACAACATCACTGCAACACAAGATCCTCTCTAAATTAAAAATTGATCCCAGTTGTGTAGTAGGAAAAAATATGACCTGTTACAAAAACACTGTGTATGGAGCCTGGTCATGACAACAGCCTTAAACTTGTACACACACATCCCAGGAAAATCAGCTTGGAAGAGCCTTTCCCACATGTTTCTCCTTTTTTGGCCCCTCCAAACACCTAAAGGTCAGAAAGTTGGTATCTCCTCACTATCCCATCCCTGCAGCACGTGTAGATTTCCTTCTCCCAAGAAGCCACCTGAAGAAGGGGGAAAAAAAAAAGAGAACAAGATGGGTCAGGCAGAACACCATTGCTTTTACCCTCAGGATTCTCCCAGCACCCTTTATCCACACTTTTTGTAAGAACAGAGCTGCTCCAACTCTACCACTCCAGCCAGCTCCTGCACAACGGAGATAAAGCCAGGGAATTCTGCACAGGATTGGTTTATGCAAAATATCAGCATTATTCAGGTAGAAAGAACAAAGATAAGCTCAGAAGTCAACCTCTGCCTGAGGTGAAGGCAGTGCCTCCTGCCTGGCATCAGCTTTCCCTGCCCACCCTCTCCTCAGGACACCCCACATTCCCCACCTTGTACACGGGGTCACAGTCAGCCTCGGTGAGATCCAGGACATAATCCAGGTCCTGCTGAACAATGAAGCAGGTGCCATCCCCTGCAAGGAAGGCACAGCAGCCAATTAGTGAAATTACACTTAATTTCAGACGGAAATTCCAGAAGGAAAAGGCTCCATTGAGGGAGACATTCCTTGGAGGGGTTTTGGAGGGGTATGAGGGACGTGGAGGGTGGAAATCCCCAAGCAAAGGGGTAAGAGGACAATGCCCAAGGAGCACAAGGCTCCTTGACTCGATCCCAGGATTTCTAGGGGCACAAAACAGCCCTGGAATTACCTTGGCTGGCAATGAATCCATCTCGGTACGGGAGCAGGGACAGCACTGGTGCTCCTGACCTGTGGATCACCTGGATTGGAGCACTAGGAAAAGGAGCAGAAACAAGGGATGAGGATTGCTGTCCAGAGCAGCTGTGCCTGCCCCTGGATTCCTGGCAGTGTCCAAAGCCAGGCTGGATGGGGCTTGGAGCAGCCTGGCACAGTGGAAGGTGTCCCTGCCCATGGGAAGGGGTGGGAATGGATGAGCTTTGAGGTCCCTTCCAACCCAAACCATTCCAGCATTCTTTTCTATGGACTGAGCTAGCAGGGAACAGCAATAAAACTCCACAGCTCAGTTCCAGTCCTGTGCTGGAATGAGGATCATGGCAAATATCAGGATAAATATGGTATCAGGATCCACATGAGGGAAAAGAAATGGGCAGTACGGTAGGGGGGATTATTGATGATAAGAAGTTTTCTGCCCAATTTATCTACACGTACGTGCACGCATGATATAAATATAAAATTATGCAAATGTTTACATAACAATGCAGCACATCAACATAATGCAAGAGGCTCAGGATGCAATGGGATGCACCCCTTGGAAGTGGCACTGCCTGACAGCACCCTCTGCCTCACTCACTTTTCCAACCAAACACTGGTTGTTTGCCCCAGGCACGCACTCGCTCACTCACTGACTCACTCACGTTGTGTTTCTCACATCCAGCTGGTAGATGTTCCCATCCTGAGTGCCTGCCAGGATGTAGGTGCTTGACAGGAACGTGCAGCAGTTGAAGGCATCAGATCCAATGAAGAGGAACACCTGAGGATTTGGGAACAAACCAAGTGTCAGGCACGTGGGACACCCACGAGAGGGAAGCAGTCATTTATTCAGAAGACAGTACAGCTGCTACTGTTTAATTTTAAATACTGTTTTCCCTGTTCCCAAGTTAAATCCTGAGCAATTCTTACTCCTCACATAAAAATCTATCCAGGAGGAAGGAGAGAGAGCATCCCTTTATTGCACCAGGATTTGGCCTCTCCTCCAGTTTAGGTTTAATCTGGCTCAATTCCCCATCCCAGTGCCCTGACAGCCCCAGATCCTTACTGGCTGCCTGCTCTGCAGTCCCACTCCTTGAAGCTTCTTGTCCTCTCGAGCCAGCAGCAGGATTTTCCCTTCTGTCCCCACCTCACGTTCACCTGGCAGAAAGAAGGACAACGGGTAATAACACAACAAACCTTGGTGGGACCAGAACCCAACAGCTTGGATCACCCCAGCTGAATTGTGGCCAGATTCCTCCAGATCCCAGGAAACCAGGAAGGCCAGAGAAGATGCAGAGCTCACTCTTCATCACTCAGTAGTGAGGAAGGTTGATAGGGATGAATTCCCCCCAGGACTGGGGCGCTCTGCTGCCTTCCCATGGTGTTACAAGGGCATGGAGCAGCACTTGGGATTACTGGGGCCAAACCCAAGCAGGCTGGGCCAGGGAGATGAGGGGCTTTGAGGGAAAGGCCTTACTGGGAGGGTTCTCAGGTGAGCCCAGGTTGAGGGAGCTGTCAGCAGCGCCCAGGGCGATGCCGTTGACGGGCGAGCCGCAGTCGGCGATGGTGCCCAGGCAGGAGGACTGGCCACAGTCCCAGAGACGGGCAGTGCCATCCCTGGAGCAGGACAGCACGTTCCTGCCCCGATCCACAATGGCAGTGTCCAGGATACCTGTGTGACAGCAAACACTCTGCTCAGACAGACACAGAAAGCAGCCCATTTCCCAAGCTCAACTCCAGGCCACCGTCCCCAGTGACAGCAAAATGACAGTGACAAGTTGTGCTCCTAGAAAAAGGTGCCTGTGGAAGGCAGCAGCTCCCAGAAAACCCCACAGAGTGGAGCCACCATCTGGCACAAAGGGAAGATATTATCAATCAAATGATCAGCAATACCTCACCTCAGCCCGAGCTGGTGCCACACAAAATTAACCTCTAATCTGGGCAGAAAAGAGCCTGGCACTTTTAAACATTCTCATTTCCACCCCTGGATAATCCCAAAAGCAGCATCCCTGCTGTCCAGCTACAGCAACGTCCAAAGAGCAGGGTCTGCTGGCACTAAGATCCCTTAACTACTTTATTTTACTCTCAAATTTGGATCTGAAAAATGACAGTGGTTTTCTTAGCAGAGAACAGCCAGGTGGTCAGGAGATTTAATTGGCACTTTTCCTACAGAAGCTCAAAGGACAGGATGAGTCAAGCAAACAGACTGCAGCAGTTTGGGCTGGAGGAATGAGAGTGGCTAAGGTCACCTGGAGAGTGACTGGCAGTGTCACTGTCACCAAGGTTCTGCCACACCATCTGGTTTGGTTAGGGGACATGGCTGCAAAAACATTTTTAATGCCCACAAACAGATTTTGGAATGGCATGGGTGGGAAGGGACCTTGAGGAACAAGTTCCAACCCCCAAATCATGTAAGAACAAAGCCAGGTTCAGCACAAGATGGGTTTTTGAGTTAATCAAGTTTAGGGCAGCCAGACACGGGGTTTATTAACCTCTCAATGAAGCTCAGCACCTTATGGGACAGGGAAAACCAGAGCCTGGACAGAGCAATTGGCAGCTCAGGGAAGAGAGAACTTGGGGTAGAGTTTGGGGCATCTGATGCCACATTCCAGACATGAAACACAGAGTGCAGCAGGCTGCAGACTGGACATCAGCCCTGGATGTGCAAGGCAAGTACACATACAGCAAATGAAGCATTTCAAGGGCTCTGTACCTCCTTTGTGACCTTTAAATGTTACTACACAGCTGGCATCTTCTGCTGACCAGATCTTTAGCTGGGCATCCATTCCCCCACTGAGAACCACGAGGCCCGATGGGAAAAACCTGCAACAATTCACATCATACACATGGCCTTCCAGAAGTCTCTGGAAAAACAAAGAACTACGTGCTAGTTCCATTGTCATCGTCCTCGTGCCGAGCAGTTGTTGAGTTATGACCCTGGAAAACTTGGCATTCTCACGTGGGCAAAGGATTAAACCCAAATCCTCTGCCTCTGGATTGCTGGAATGGACTGCTCTGAATTTGGGACAAAGGGGTGACTTTGGGGCTCCCTCTACCATGTGAGCAGCTCATTACACAGCAAAAGTTAATACAATTGCTTCTAAATACAGGTTAAATGTCTTTATCCTCTGCCAAACAGGGAGCTGACAGGTCAAGCTCCACAAGAAGGAGCTTTCCCCCTTTACTGGGAAGGCCACAAGCCAGGATGTAGCTAATCCAGCACCAAAATCCTTCTTCCCATGCAGGATAGGGACTGTCAGTGAACTATTAGTCCTGAGTACCTCTCTGAGCAACATCCCCCTTGGGAGAAGCCACCTTTTCCAACAGATTTGACTTAAAGCCTCCAAGATTCCCAATTTCAATTAGCTTTTCATTAAAAAGCCAGATTCCTCACAGGGTGTGCACAGCCTGACCACAGTCACGGCCTTCAGGACTTCAGGAATGTCACAGACAACACAAAAACATCCAAGCCAGATGTTCTTACTCTTATTTCTCCATTTGCAGCCTGCCATATTTTCATGGTCCCATCTGTGCTGGTAGACACTCCAAGTCCTCCACCACTGGAAATATCAAGGCAGGTAATCTGCAGGAAGGTAAAAGCACCAAGAATTATCTTTATATAATTCTGTATATAAATATTTCTGCTCAAGAGCCTAGTCCTGTCCTAGGTCTCCTCCCTAGGGGGAGACCTGCTAAGTTTTCTCCCTGCCTGTGGCTCTGCAAGGCAAGGAGGAAAAAGGAATGCTGAGGCAGAAGCCTGCACAAGCAGCAGTTGTAGTCCAGGTGGAAGAGAAATCTGGACTTTTCTAACAGGTCCTGTAAACAGATGAGAAATGAGAAAACAGCTCAGAGTAACTGGCCTGACCCACAAGCCCACAAGACACAGTTTGAGGTATTTATGAAGCCAAATTCACAGCCTAAATTTGCTGAAGCCCTGAACCAAAACTAGCTCTTTGTATGAAATGGGGCCCCTCAGAAGAAGGACATAGAGGGGGCTGGAGCTTGTCCAGGGAAGGTGAACAGAGAGATAATTCTCTCTCCCAGGTTTTTTCCTAGAGGAGCACAGAGAGAAGAAGAGAAAACAATTCTTAGCCCTACTTGCTGCTCCTGTTTGCACAGGTGAAATGCATTAGGAAGATTGTTTAGCTGAAGAGAGTTCCTAATTGGATTCTGGTGATAGTTGTTAGCCTGTTGAGTCAAAGCTGTGTCCCAGCTAGCTCAAGACACTCAGGGGTTTTTCTTTAGTATTCTCTGTAGTATAATGTTACATAATTGAGTTTTAATAAAACAATTGTTCAGCATTCTAAATCAATAGAGTCAGATACCAATCATTTCTTTCATCGGGGACACCCTGTTTTACTATAGGAAGGGAATGGAGCTGGGAAGGGGCTGAGGGGGCTGGGAAGGGGCTCAGCCTGGAGAAAAGGAGGCTCAGGGGGGACCTTGTGGCTCTGCACAACTCCTGACAGGAGGGGACAGCCAGGGGGGAACAGGGACAGGAGGAGAGGGAACGGTCTCAGGCTGGGCCAGGTTGGACATAAGGAGGAATTTCCTCATGGAAAAGGGTTTTAAACAGTGGAAGGGGCTGTCCAGGGAGGGTTGGAGGTGTCCAAGGAAGGGCTGGACGTGGCACTCAGTGCTCTGGGCTGATGACAAGGTGGGGACCAGGCACAGCTTGGACTCGGTGATCTCAGAGGTCTTTTCCGACATTAGGAATTCTGTGAGCTGCACTTGCATTGCATTTTTTAAATTGAATTTTCAGGCTGGGGTGGGGAAAAAAAGAAAAAACCGCTACAGCGGTAAAACCCATGGAGAGGAATAATAAACGCAGACGGGCTCCAGCCAGGACAGGGTTAAGTTTCCCAACAGCAGGAGGGGCAGGGCCAGGAGGAGGATGATGTTCCCCGCTCCCACCTCTCCGTGCGGCGGCGGGAAAAAGTCCCGCTTTTCCCGCTTCCCTTCTCTCCGGCCGGGCTCCCGCGGTCCATCCCTGTCCCATTGCTGTTCCCAGTGAGTCGCTGCCTTCGTGCCCCGGTTCCCGCTGCAGCCTCCCACCGAGCTTAGCGTGAGAACGCTAAATTCGGGAACACCAAGCCCAAACCACCCATCGTGCGGCACCAAGGGTCGAGATAAGGACAGCTCTGCCCGCAGCGGGTTGGAAGCAAGTTTGAGCTGAGTGTTTGGTGTGTTGGGTACCGTCGCTGGTAACGATGTGGCTCAGTCAGCTCTTTGTGGAGTGGTACCTGTACAGGTTTATATTTCCCTGTGTGGTCCTGATAATGCACTTCAACAGTTTAGAGAGATGGTTCAAGATTCTTATGTGCATAGATTTTGTGGTATCAACTTGTAAGGTTATACGCTACCTCCAGGAGATCATTAATAATGGTTCCCAGTCTGTGGGGGGAACGGGGGACGAATACTTTCACAACCTTTTCACCTCCTTTAACTCCTTTAAGCCTCTTAAAGCCCCTTTTGAGCTGCCTCCGAATACAGAAGAAAGCACATTGTCGTTCTGTCTGCTGTATCTTCTCCCTCTGGTCTACATCACCCTTATGGTCTACTTCATCTTCAGAGTTACAAAAGAGATTTCTGGGAGGGTCTTTCAGAGAGTGGATAATGATGAGTGGCAGGGAAGGTGGGAGAAAATTGGCCAGGTTTTGAAGGAGTATTCGGCTCCACTGGTTTGGAGGTTCACCCCTCAACAAATACAGGACCCTGTTAAAGTGGCAGAATACCTGAAAGAGAAACGCTGCCGTGGTTCCAGGGAGGAGCAACTTACAGCACTCTGCTGGGCCCTGGCTACTCTGTATCGGACACTGCTGGATACCAGCCAGCCCCCTCAGGAGGAAGAGGAGGAGGAAAACAGACCAACAAGCACCATGGCCACTCAAACCGCAGCTGCACCAGAGGAACAACCCATGCTGGGAGCAGTCGCTCCTGAACAGAACACATCCAACACTGAATTAGTTTCCTTAGTGAGGGATGAAGATGATGAAGAGGAGGAGGAGTCCTCAGAAGAAGAGGAAGAGTCCTCAGAAGAGGAGGAAGAGGCAGAGATAATGCGTGAATCCCAGCGTAAGCTGCAGTCAGTCCGAGAGCGTTTCAGGCGCCGTGCGGATCAGTCCTTGCTGCTCTGGCTGTACGAGTGCTGGTTTGCAGGGGCCCACGTGGACGTGTGGCTGGACAGCTCTGAAGCCCAGCAGCTGGGCTGCCTGTCCCAGGACGTGGCCATCGACAGGGGGCTCGGGAGGAGGACGGGAAGGCACAGCCTGTGGATGCGCCTGGTGGGGAGCGTGAGGGCGGCATACACGGCGGAGGAGCTGCTGCTGCGGCGGGACAGCTGGAGCACCAGGCTGGAAGGGGTGCAGTACCTGACAGAGCTGTCCATGGCTGACATACTCTTTGGGAATACTCAGAACAGTCGGTGCCTGGATGATCTGGACAGAGCCTGCTGCACCTGGGACACGTGGCAGGCGCTGAGGAGGAGCGCGCCGCCGCTCTATGCCAAGGCGCTGTCGTCGATCACATGGAACAGGAACCTAAAGGTGCTCAAATTAAAGGCCTTCATCTGGGACTACGGACTGAAACCCTCTTCCCCAGCCCAGGACAGCTCCTCCTATGTGGAAACGCAGCCCAGGGAACAGGCAGCCTGCGGTGATGATCCCTGCACGATATGCCACGAGGAGCTGGGCAGGAGCGCGTGTGAGCTGGAGTGTGGGCACGAATTCCACAGGGAGTGCATCAGGACCTGGCTCCTGGAGCATTCCAGCACCTGCCCCATCTGCCGTGACTACGCTGTCCTGCCTGCGGCCACCCCTGCACGGAACAACTCACAGCCTCACAAAGCCAGGCCTTGGAAAAGATCAGGGATTTAGAAGAAAAGTGCTGAACAGACCAAGGTCTTAAAGAATGGACTGGACTGATTTCATAAGGCTCAGAAGTACAAGTGAAAAAATGGCAGCAGAAGAAAAATCAGAAGAATTTAAAAGTCAGCTAAAAAAGCCCCTGGATACCAATGAGAGGGGTTGGAAATCCACTGGGGACAAGGAAAAGCAGTATAATGGATATGAACTCGTATCCTGAGACATTTAGGAGGGACTGCCTTTGAGTAAGGGAATAATTCCTGTGCTTTTTTGTGTACAGACATAATTGGGTGGTGTGGGATCTGAGCATGAGTAGATGGGATAGAATGAGGGGTGGGCAATGTCCTGGTTCTGGGTTAATTTTTACAGGAGCAGGGAGAAGCACATTTGGGATATTGCATGGGTTTTGTGTTCCTTGTGGTGAGCAGATCTCTTCCCTGTCCTGTAAATTTGATTAATTAATGCTGTTGCTACCGTTGCTTTTTTTATTCCATTGTTTTTCTCAGTAAATTGTTTTATCTCAACCCTGATCTTTGTTTTTGTGCCTCCAATCCCCATTTGCTGCAGGGGGAGTGGGGAAGGAGTGTGTGGCACGTGGTCCAGGGTGTTTCAGTGGGAACACCATCCCCAAACCACAAGTTCCATCTCCATTGCAACCCCTCACACCCAGATCCACACTCCAGACCACCCCTCACTACGAGGACAGCACAGACAGGGATTGTGAGAATTGCCAGCCACACCCAGAGATTCCCACCCCACAAAGCTACTCACACTTTTCTGATGAATCCTGCAAAAACTTGTGTATGGAGCCAGGAACTTTGTGGATACATTTTCCTGAGGACAAGAAATGAGGATGCTTTTCTAGGAGGGGAAATAAGGAAAAAAAGGAATTAGAAGTGCTGTTAGTCCTGAAACAGAGGTTGCCAAGGTAGAACTGTGGACTGGATGAAGCTGTGGGATCCCAGAGTTTGAAAATTGATGGGAGGGTCAATGTGGGGCCCATGTCCTCAGGATGCAGGTGGGAAGGGATGGCTGCTCCTGGTGGGAAGGTGGGGACCAGCTCCAGGGCTCTCTGCACAGCAGGGCAGGACTGTGCAGGGAATGGGTGACAGCTTAGGCTGTCAGAGCAGCCCCTTTATGTACAGGAAATGTCACCAACCCCTCTCCCCCCAGCCCTGGCACCTTGGTGACTTCCCCGACCACGAATCCCTCGGAGGCCACGATGTCTGGGACGCCGTCGGAGCTGAGCCCGCGCCGGGTGACGCTGCCATACAGGGTGGCCTTCCCTGGGGGACAGCAGCCGTCAGCCCCAGCACCCTCAGGGACCCCAAACGTCCCCTCCCAACTCAGAGGAACCCCAACCTCCCTCACCCACAAGGAGCTCAGACACCGCCATCCCCTCCTGACGCCCTCAGGATCCCTACGTGACCCCAGTCCCTTTAAAACCAAAAGGATGCCCAAACCACCCCAGTCCCTTTAAAACCAAAGGGATCCCCAAACCACCCCAGTCCCTTTAAAACCAAAGGGATCCCCAAACCACCCCAGCCCCTTTAAACCAAGAGACCGCAGGGCACCCCAGCAGCCCCATTCCCTGCTAACACATCCCGCCACCAGCCCCTATCCCAAAGGGTCCCCCGGCCACCCCCATCCGTTTCTGCCCTTCGAACACCCCTCACCCCGAGAACCCTCTCGATCCTCCATGATCCCGTCTCACTCTCACGCCTCCCTCGAGGCCTCTTCAGGCCACTCACCGGGGCTGCGGCAGCTCAGCCACGCCTCCCCCTCGTCCCTGCTGCAGAGAGAAGAAGCGGCGGTGAGCGGGGCAGGGAGCGGGACAAGGACAGGGACAAAGAAAGGGACCGTTCCCACCTCAGCGCCCGACTCCAATCGCTCTGGATCCGCAGCGTCGCCGCCATATTTGCCGAGGTAACCGCACACACTTCCGCCTCCTTACTTCCCGTCGACCCCCGCGCGAGCGGAAAGATGAGAAACCCGCCAATCAGCGAGCGCCGCCGCGGCCTTGCCACGTCCCGGAAGTGCCGAGCCGAGCTCCCGCCTTAAAGTGACCGCGCTGCGCTGGTACGGGGGCTGCACCCATGGGTGGGGAGGGAGGGAGGGAGTGCAGCGTGGAGGGAGGCGGGGGGCGGGGGCTGGAGATCCCTGGGAATGGGAACCCTTGGGAGGGGAGGAGGGCGCTGGGCACCCAGAGCTGGGGTGAGGTGCCCCCGTAGGACACGGCCGCCTGCCCCGCCCGCAGCGCCCCATGGCGAAGGCCGGGCACGGCTGGAGCGGCACGGCGGCGGCGGCGGAGGAGGAAGGCGAGGACCCGCTGGACGCCAGGATCGCGCGGAGCGGCTGCCTGGAGCAGCACCGGCAGCTGCAGGAGTGCATGGCCGAGCGGCGGGACTGGCGGCACTGCCAGGAGCAGGTCCGCGCCTTCGGAGCCTGCATGGCCCGGCGGCAGCAGCAGCGGCAGCGCGGCACCGGCCCGACCCAGCCCCCGGACTGACACCGCCCGGACAGACAGACCCCTCCTTCCCGGCTTGGTTTTTATCCAACTGCTTGGAAAGCCAGGTGGAATTGTTAGGAAATAAATCTGGAGTTTGTCACTTGGTGTGTGCCAGTGGGAGAGGGTAGCTGGTTTGGAGCATACAGCATCAAGCTGTGCCTTGGTACATTCAAGTGGGACATCAGGAGGAATTTCTTCATGGAAAGGGATTTTAAACATTTGTAGGGACTGCCCAGAGAGGTTTAGAGTCCTCCATCCCTGGAGGTGTCCAAGAATGACTGGACATGGCACTCGGTCCTCTAGGCTTATGGCAAGGTGGGGACTGGGCATAGCTTGGACACAATGATTCCAGAGGTCTTTTCCAACCAAAATGATTCTGTGGTTGTGGATTTCCAGCCCAAAATGTCCCAATCCAGGAGCATTCACAGCACTCAGGCTGTGTCTTGGCTCCAGAACAGCTGCCATGGATTTTACTCCATGTTCTCTGTGCCATCCTAAGGCTTTTCCCAGCAGTGATAACCTCACGTCCCACAGGATGGGATTTATCTCCTGGGAAGCCACAGGAAAATTAGGAATGGGAGAAAAAGGGATTCTCATCTGATCACCACCTGCTGGCAAATAAGCCATAAGAAAGAAAATAAAATTGGTTTTTGCATGGCTTTTGTCAGAATGAAGGTTCCAGGCTATTTCCCAGGGATGTGGATGCTGGGAATACCAAGAGGCTGGGCATGGAAGCACAAGCAACACCTGGACAGCCCGTTTGGGTGAAGGGTGTAAATAAATGAGTTACTTTCCCTATTTTTCACACGCTGGTCTTTAGAAAGGGAGAGAAAAAGCCTCCAAACAAACTAGTCTCTGGAACAGTTTCTCTTGGCATCCATCTAATTTGGTTATAACAATTCCCAGGATTGTTGCAGCACAGCATTATTCATGCACAGAGATTTCTGCAGAAATTCCCACCTATCAAAAGCAAAATAGGCAGGAATTAAAAAAAACAAAAATAACTGAAGGAAAGCAAACCCACATTCCATTGTGGCACCTTTGCTCCCAGTACAAACCAGTGAGATATATACACATTGTTTATTTTTACTGAGACAAGCTGGTTGCCAACAGTGGGAATTCCTCCCAGTTCAGAGTTATCAGTGCAGAGCTCATGGGAGCACCCTCTGGAGGCTGGAACAGCCCATGAATGGCAGCACATTGCTCCTCACCTCAGGACATCTCTGCCAGCAGCTCCTCCAGCTCTGGTCGAGACTTCAGCCGGCTCTTGAAATCGGCTTCCGTGTGCTGTGGAGGGAGGGAAAACCACCATAAATCAGGATCACACAAACCCTTTCCCTGCTTCCTAAAGGGAAGCACTGGGAAGTGCAACCATACCTGTTTCATCAGCAGGTGCACCCCCTCAGGCTGGCTGCTCTGAATGACTTCCAGCAGGATGGGAGCAAACGTGGAGCTCAAACCGCGGATCTGAAAGCAGAAATGACAGAGCTGCAGGAGAACAATCCCAGAGACTCTGGGTTGGATAGGACCTTAAGGATCATCTAGTGCCAGCCCTGCCATGGGCAGGGACCCCTTCCACTGTCCCAGGTTGTTTCAGCCTGGCCTTGAACACCCCCAAGAACGGGGCAGCCACAGCTTCTCTGGGCACCCTGTGCCAGGGCCTCCCCACTCTTCACATATTTCTTCCCAATATCCCATCCATCCCTGGGAGTTTCTGTCCTCACCCATCCCCAAACATGACTCTTCTACCCCTCATATCAATCATTCAGCAGAAAATAGATAATAAATCTTCTGCCTGAAACACAGAGCCAGAAAATCCTCCTGGGCTTCTAGTTTAGGAGCAACACTCAGCAGAAAACGTAACCAGACTTTTTGCTTCCATTTCTGCCCAAATTGCCAAAATTTGAGAGGTTTGTGGAGCCTGTGATGGGATCCCAGCTCCTACCTGGACAACCCTCTGGTGGGTGGTAAGGACTGCATCCAGCTGCATTTTGGATCCCCTCTCTTCCAGGAACAGCACCTCGTTGGTTTTGGTGGGCATGGCGTAGCTGCAGGAGCCAGAGGACAGGGCTCAGGACAGGCAGGGTATTTGCAGGGATGAATCACCCTCCCCGGCAGAGAATGGGCAAGGAGATTAACTTGGCAGTAGAAATTAATTATGCAAAGGAGGTATCTTTCAAATCAGGTGCTGGCAGAGGCCGGGTGTTTTGCTGGAAGGAGATAAGGAGGAAGCTCTGCCAGCAAAAACCTGGATTAGCTACAAGCACCAGCCTGAGAACTTTTAACTTCTTCACAGCTCAAGAAAAGGAACAGTTCTGACTTATTTTGTCTTTTGGGAGATAGCTTAAATCTGTTGCTGCAATGCACCACTCAAAATATGTTTGCACCTCAGATTTAATGGGAATGTGACTGATCAGACTGCTCAGTGCTCAGAGACCTCAGTTTCCTCATCCCCATATCCAAGCTCCATCCTGTTGCCCACCTTTTCCCCTCAATTCCCATCCTGAAGGGCTAATCCTTTCTTTCTCTGCACACTGAGGCACCTCAGAGGGTACAAGTGAAAAGCACACTCATTTTAGAGAGTCCCCAGTGGTTTTATTTCCAGTGCCTGCAGCTCCCTGGGAGCACTTCAGGCACCAAGGGGCTGCCTGACATTCCTCAGTGGAGTGGGTGTTGGAATACTCCTGGTCTGGAGAACTCCTGGAGCATCCTCTCCTCCTAAACTGAAGTAGCAGGAAGTTCACCCAGCACCTTCAGGGCTTTCCCAAGCTCATTCCAGTTCCAGGCATGCAGAGCCTGGATCACAAACCATGAAGGAAAAGCATCAGCAAATGTCAGCAGTTCCCAGGCTCTGCACCCACAGGCTTAAAGCCTTTTCCTCAGAGGAAGGAGGTGTAACAGCCATTTTTTCCTTGGAATCTGCTCAAGTCAGTGCCTGAAAAATTCAGTGCTTCTATATAAAGCATCCAAAATTGAGAAGATAGACAAAAGGAGCACGCAGGGCAGGTGAGAGGTCTGGATTGACACCCAAATGGGAATCCCTCAGGGAGACTGGAGTGTGCCCTGATGTGCAGGGGGCCATGTTCCAGAGGGACAGATTTCCTCCTACCTCTCATTGACCCGGATGGAGAGGCGGTTGCAGAGCCTGTGCACATACTGAGCAAAGTGCTCCACCAGGCACAGGTCATGGGAAGTCATCTGGATGTTGATATCTCCATACTGGTACTCGGTGCCAGCACTGATCTCTTTCATCTGCACCTTTTCCTTTCTCCTCTTTGGAACCTGTTTTCCAAAAGAAAATACAACAAGATAAAGTAGAGAGTATCTGGTTTGAGCAATGCTGGGAATAAAGGCTCAGCTCTTGGGTGGCCTCACACACAAAACACACTTGTGCTGTGATTAATTTCTCCCACAGGAAGAAAGAAAGGAGTAAAACCAGTAGAAATAAACCTGCTGTTAATTTCAGTTCCTGCCTAAAAGGCAGCTGACTTCTTGTTGTTTCCTCCTTGCACAGAAATGGATGTCTTTACAAATCTCAGGGAGCGTGAAAAGGTTCCATGCAAGTGAGAACTGCTCCCAACATTCAGGTGTTAAATTGAATTATTAATTAACCTTAAATTGAATTATTAATTAACCTCAGGAGGAGGTTCCTCCCTTCCAAAGCTGGAATGTGCTGGACAAAAGGAAGCATTTCTGCAGTGTGGTGAGTGGGTATTTCATAGAATCATGGAATAACTGGGATTGGAAGGAACCTTAAATCTCATCCCATTCCAGCCCCCTGCCAAGGGCAGGCACATTTCCACTATTCCAGGCTTCTCCAAACCCCATCCAGCCTGGCCTTCTGAGATGGGACATCCACATGCTTCAGGATCACCTTGGGAAGTCCTTCTGCCTACCTCCTTTGGGAGCAGGTATTTAAACCTCCCAATTCCATGTGTAGGTCGGGACCTGTAGGATCTGTGGGAAGCCAGGAGTGCATCACCTGAAAATTAAAGCAGAGCAAACTTGTTTCCAGCTGAAAACAAACATCTGCAGGTGCCCTGAGAGCCCCAAATTATCGTCACATAACACCACCTGCTTAACCAAAACAGGGCAAAAACTAAGAAAATGCTGGAAAAAAAATGGAAGTGGCAGAGCACCTGCTGTGGTTATTTAGCCAGTCCAAAAGTGGCTAAAAAAACCCCAAAATGCAACACAAATGCTCCAAAGTTTAATATTTATTTGAGGGAAGTGAATTTTTGCCTCAAAACTAGATTGACAACAGACCTTACCTGCAGCACACAGAAGGTTTTCTCTGGCTGTTGCTGCTCTGTAGGAAAAAAAGATAATCATTAATAACTCTGATTTCCCTCAGTTATGGAAAAATATGTGGCCAATGTCCTTTTTCAAAGGCACAGGCTGATCCCATCAGCACAGACTCCCCCTTTTCCCCATCCCACAGGCCTTCCAGCTTCCAGCTCAAAGTCTTACCTCCACTGTTAGAAGATTTGGCAAAAAAAAGGAAAAAAAAAGGCAATATTTTGGTCCTGTATGTTTTCTCACCTGCTGAGGGCCAACATCTGCCTGAGCAACACTCCCTTCTCTGAGCACAGCACCTGCAGGGGTTAAAACACAGCAGGGTGGCAGATCTGCTGGGAATTTTCTCCAGGTAACTCCACCTCTAGGATAAGACCCAGGGAAGAGCTGGAGCTGTGTCTGGAGGGGTTTAGGTGGAGATCAGGGAAAGGTTCTTCCCTCAAGGGTGCTGGGCACAGCACCAGCCTGACCGAGCTCTAGGAGCGTTTGGACACCACTCCCAAGGACATGGTTGGATAGGCCATGAACAACTCTCGTGCTTGTCCCACCTCCACATGGATGGAGGAAACTGCTCATCCACCGGGCAAACAGCTTTGCTGTCGCCAAACCAGCGTGGGGGATAAACGCCGATGTCCCAAATGTCCCCGTGTAGAGGGACAGGGATCTGGCAGGGACCACGGAGACGAGGGTTGCAATCGAGTTGGGGGTGTGAGGATGGGCAGCAAGGGTGTGTGGGTGTCTCGGCCCCTGGTCCAGGAGCACCAAGACAGATCCAGAGCACGATCTCAAGGTCTGCACCCCTCAGGATCACCCCCACACTTCCTTCCGAAACCAAACCAGGGTGGGATCAGGGCCTCCAGCAGCAGGGCTGGGGCTGCCTCAGCTGTCCCAGGGACCAAGGCTACTCCTCCGTTCCTGTTCCGTTCCTCCCCTCCCCTCTGTCCCCGCGTCCTTCCCCGTTCCCGCTCCCCTTCCCCGTGGCCATCCCGGTACCTTCGGCACCGCCGCCATCTTCCAGCGCCGCGGTCCGTCGCTTAAAGCGTTCCCCTTCAATGCCTCGGTACTCCCCCATCCAGCTCCCCCGTCGCTCGCTCCCCGCGTTCCGCCCACCGACGCCTCCCGGAAATTCTAATTTTCGGACAGCTCCCCGCTCCGCCCACCGACAATTCCCGTAGGCAACAACTTTTGGACAACCCGCGGTACTGGCGGGGCCCTGGCCTCCTGAAGGAGGCAGCGGAAAGGACGCGGGGGTGGGGGCAGTAATGGCGGACACCTCGTTCCTGCCTGCCAACACGCGGTGGGCAGCGCCGCCACGCGGCAGCGACTGCACAGCGCACCCTGCCCTGCGCCTACCACCGAGCGTCCCGCCCATCACGGCCCTGCTCCCGCCCGTCCTCGCACGCTGATTGGCCCCCATCCACGTCAATCACAACGCGGCGGCCATCTTGAGTGTGGCATGGCCACGTTGCAGGGCTGAGGGCGGTGCCCGGCCCCGCCCCAGCGTGGGGCAGCGGCCACCTTGAGTGTGGCGGCCCGGCGGCCATTTACTTGGGCCTTTGGTATCGCTTAAAAAACATATTTATAATCACGAAATCTAGGCGTAGGAGGGCTGGGCTGGCGGGGACCTCCTCTCTGATTTCCCAGTGGGAGAGCAGGTGGGCAGGGGGTCTGCCTGGGAAGAGATGGGCCTGTGGTCCTCTGCCTGCTGGGCCTGACAGTATGGAGTTGGCTCAGAGAAACCCACCTCGTGTCCCTCGTGCCTCTCCCACACAAATCTTCATTTCCTTTCTCTCCTCCTGGCTCCCTTCTCTCCAGTCTGGCTCCAGTTTCCCCCTCACTCTGGAGCCCACATCCCTGAGCCCCCATCTTGGAGAGCTGTTCCCTGCCTGGGAGCCGGATTTTGAGTCAGGATTTCCCGCCCTGCTGACTGCTCTAACTGCTCTCAGAGCTGTCAGAGCATCTGATGGACTTTCCCCCTCCAGCTCATCCACGTGGCAGGTTCATGTGACCCCACCCTGTCCTGCATTTCTCAGTGCCCGGAGCTCCGGACACACACTGGGCACCCTTGATGTCCGTCTGTGCTAGAGGGGATAGAAGGAATGTGAAGGGACAAGCTTTGTGTCTGCACCTGCCCAGCACATGCAGAGAGCAGAGGAATCCACGGCACCTTTGCTCTTTGCTCCACAGTGCAAGGACACGTGTTCCCAGCTCCGAGCTGTGTTTTCCTGGCGCTCCCGGGACGTGACAGAACTGCCCACGTGGAAGTTTTCCTGCCCTTTGATCCCACCTGGCCTGCCAGCCTGGGAATGATGCTTGTGTAAGGATCTCTGTGGGAGTCTGAGCTGGGTTAAGGCTGGCACTCCCACTCCAGGAAACCTCTCATGACATCTGAATCCCCAGAGGAAACTGAGGAGGGGCTGCTGTGACTGAAGGGGGTGGCTGGTCCTGTGTTTGTAGGAGAAGCTAAAATGAACACCACAATTAATGAAAGTGACTCCTAATTCCCTGCCCTCCCAATGGAGTGGGACTGCACCCCTTAATTTCCTCTGCCCCTCCTGGGGACTCACCTTTGTTCCACCCCCAAAACGTGGCTGAGTGTGGGGTAGGGCAGGAACAGATTGCAGGGATTGCTGCTGTCCTCTGTGTCTCCATGAGAAACGAGTCCCCCTCTCCTCCACTGAGGAATGTCTCTGCCATCTATCATAGGTGGATACATTTTAAGGCCAAAAGGGACTGTTAAATCAGGGAATTCACTCTCCTGCACGTCGCACTCGATAGGTTTCCAGTGACTTATGGCTTTATGGAAGCGGATCACTCCTCTCTCCGTGAGAGCATCTTTTTCACAAAGATCCTCTCCATTTTCCCTGGATACAAAGATAGTGCTGCTCTTGGCAGCTTGTTCTGGTGGCTGAGCACCCTGTCTGTTAGGACATGGTCCTTATTTCCAACTGGAACGTGCCTTTCTTTGCCTTTTGCATCATTTCACATCCCTGTGGCAGGAGCACAACTTCCAAACCTTTTTGTGACATTGACATGGAGAAGCTGAGGGGACTGGATGACTTCCTTTTCCTGCACCACACTCAAACTCCAGGAAGCTCCTTCTCCTGTTTAAGGCTTCCCATTCCTTGCCTCCACTTCTTTTCAGACTCATCCAATGATGAAAACAATCAAGAAGTGTTCAAACAGACTTTAGAAGAAAACCTCTGTTTCACGTGTCTCCTCCTCTGCCTTCAGCTGTTGTTTTCCCTGGGACCCAGGGGAAAGATCCTGGAATGAACCCTGACACAAAAATAAGGACATTGTCTGTATTTAATATTTGAGATCAGGCCAGGCTAGATTCCCTTTCTCCCTGCAGGAGAGCAGCCACACAACCAGTGTGGAAGCACTCCCAGATGCCAGGTGCAGAGCTGGATGGGAGATTCTGCTCATATCTATTAAAACTTGCTTAAATTTAATCACCTGATTAAAGACACATCTTCCTCTTTTAGTTCTCTGCTACTCCAAGGCCTGGGTGAAAAAAAAAAACAGCCCTTGGTGAAGCAGTTCATCACATTGAGAGAATATAAATGAAAGGATCAAAAATAGAAAGACTCTCAAAACTAAACATGTAGCAGATGCTTTTTCCTTGACTATCAGAGCAGAGATGCTCTGGAACAATCTCCCAGCCAAGGTTTAAACAGGAGGGGCCAGGATGCACCTGGAAACCTCCCAAAACACCAAACTTTGAGGGCAGAGTGGGGGAAAATGGGCAAAAAATAGTGAAAAGCAATGCTGGCCCCTCCAGCAAAAGGTGGAGGGCCCTGAGCCACTGTAAAAGGATGAGACTGGGGATCACTGCCCTTCCTGGGAAACACCACCCTGCTGTGAGGGACCTGCTCCCCAGAGATCTCCTCTGAAAGGAGAATCTGTGTCAGGTTAGGATTAAACCTTTGCTTTTAAGGACTTTGCTGGTTGCCCCCTCACGCCCGTGCGGGCCGGGTACACCTTGCAGCCCTTACCCGGGTGCTGAGGATGTGAGGGCGGTGAGGCCCTGGCACTGCCCAGAGCAGCTGTGGCTGCCCCTGGATCCCTGGCAGTGCCCAAGGACAGGGCTTGGAGCAGCCTGTGCTGGAGGAAGGTGTCCCTGCCCCCGGCATGGGTGGCACTGGATGATTCTCCCCGTCCCTCCCAGCTCGAACCATTCCCGGCCCGTAGCTGAGGGAAGCGCCCATAGCGCCTGCGCGGGGCGGGCGGAGCGCCGGCTCCGGGAGCGCGGGGGGGGGCGAGCGGCGGCACCGACACCGGCACCGACACCGGCACCTCACCGGGGCTCGCAGCCTTCGCCGGGCAGGAGGAGGACGAGGAGAAGAAGCAGGAGGAGGCGGAGGCGGAGAGAAGCGGTCGCGGTCGCGGGTGCCGCCGCGGGGAGCGGAGCGAGCGCGGGGCGGCGGCGGCGGCTCCTCCATCATGTCGTCGGGCGGGGACTTCGGGAACCCGCTGCGGAAATTCAAGCTGGTGTTCCTGGGCGAGCAGAGCGGTGAGTCACCGCCCGCCAAGGGCCGGGACCCCCAGAGCGACACTCGCCCACCCTCGTGGGGGCACGAAGGGACCCCCTCCTCATCCTCCCCGACATCCTCAGGAGCGGCTCTGACACCCACCCACCCTCATGGGGTCTGGTGGGATCCCCCTCCTCATCCTTCCTGACACCCACCCTCCTTCATGGGGTCTGGTGGGATCCCCACTCTTTCTCCCCGACATCCACCCTCCCTCATGGGGTCTGGTGGGATCCCCCTCCTCACCCTTCCCGACACCCACTCATCCTCACAGGGGTGTGATAGATCCCCCTCCTCAGCCTCATGGGGTCTGATGGGATCCCTCTCCTCATTCTCCGTGACACCCACCCACGCTCATGGAGTGTGATGGGATCCCCCTCCTTACCCTTCCTGACACCCACCCACCCTTTTGGGGTCTGATGGGATCCCCCTCCTCATTCTCCCCGACACCCACCCACCCACCCTCATGGGGTGTAATGGGCTCCCCCTCCTCATTCTCCATGATACCCACCCATCCTTATGGGGTCTGATGGGGTCCCCCTCCTCATTCTCCCAGACACCCACCCACCCTCATGGGGTGTGATGGGATCCCCTCCTCAGGACACCCAGCCTCTGTCCTGAGAGTCCCTGACACCCACCCACCCTGGTGGGGCTCTGTGGGGTTCAGCTCTGCTTTAACCCCCCCACCCACCAAAGCCCATCTGCAGAAACAGTTGCTGATTCATTGGGTCCCGGCTCCTCTGGTTTTTGGGGGGCAGGAGTCTCAATCTGCAGCGTTTACTGTGTAAATCCAGCGTTTTTCCCTAATGGAGTTATGTCTTGGCAGAGCGACGCTCTGAATATTTAATTCAGTCAATGAGGTTTTCTTCCCTGTCTTTGGAATGAAAAAAAAAAAAAAACCAAAAAACAAAACCCAACCTAAACAATGTCTCCTCCTTCCTCAGCGGAAGGCCTCTATCTCCAATACTGCAATCCAAATTTTTCCCTTGGAAGAGTTTTCTGAAAAAAAAAAAAAAAAAGGCAAAAAAAAAAAAAGCTCCTTTATGAGATGCTTTGTGCAATCCTGGGTAGATAGTGTGAGATCTATGACATAATGAATAGGTGCAAAATATTTTCTGTCTCGGGGTGGGGTATTTGCTCCCTCAGCCACCTTTGGTCTGTGTGATAGGAGATGATGAAATACTAGTTGGTTTTATTTTTTGGCCAAATTAGTTGCATCTTGGTGTTTCCTCACTCAGATGGTCACAAGGCTGCTGTTGACATTATTTACCTGTGTGTTGGCAATTTCCTTTAGTCTGTTCCTTGAATCATTCCCTTTTTATTTTGTGTTTTTGGGGTTGAAACAGCTCTTCTCATATCAGGGATTTGGGGAGCACGAGTGCAACTTGATTATTTATTATTTTTTGGGTAAGTCACCTGATCTGCTTGGTAAGGTGCTATTTGGCCAGCCATTTTATGAGGATTTTGGATGAGGGTCATGTGTAGAAAATGCTGGGGGTTTTTTGTTTGGTTGTTTTTTTCCTAGGTACTTGATAACAGGAATCTGAAATATTAGCAATGCATTTGCAAAATCCTTGGCTTGTTTATCTGTATTTCTGAGCTTCAATATCATGAAGCTTTTCAAATACATCCTTGGAAGGTTGTGGCACCTGGTGCAGATCTTAAATCTCAGCAGCTCTTCCTTCACACGTGGCTTTCTTGTC